CCACCCGCAGCCCGCCGGCTGGGGGGCCCCATACCCCAGACCTCCCCTGAAGGCCATGTCTCGGGGCGGCCCAGCCCATCCTGAGGGCCTTTGGCGGCCACCCCGACCACCGCGCCCTCGGAAGCCACCAGGAAGGCGGAGGGCTGGCTTGGAGGCCTCCTGGGCCCACCCCCTGCCACGGCCTCCAGCCTCCCCCCAATAAAGTGTCTTCAAGGACCCTGTGTTGGCCTCCTGCTGGGTGCCGGGCCCCAGGCCATCTGTCCTCCATCTTCTGTCCTCCTGTCGTCCTAGTCCTCGGAGGAGTTGCCATGGCCTCCAGGACCGTGTGGGGGAGGGGCTTGAGGAAGTGGGGCCTGCGGGTCAGGCCTGGTCTCCTCCAATCCACACCATCCCCTGCAGGTCAGCGCAGGCTCCTCCGGGTAGTGGGGACCTGCAAGCTGCCATGCACTTGGCCCGTCAGTGGAGGGATTGTCTGAGCGGAAGGCCTGGGCAGGGGTGGCAGGGCCGTGCCCAGCCTGAGGCTGAGCTGGTTTCATTACAGAATGGCCTGAGCCAAGTCAGGAGGGGACCGGTGGCAGGTCAGTGGCAGGGCCCCGTGAGGTGTTGGGTTGAAGCGGATGGAGATGGTGCCATGGTCCCAGGCTGCCTCGCTGGAACCCCAGTGTGCAGCTCAGTGTGAGGGGCCTCCTGCCCTGGCCTGCCAGCCGCGGATGGTGGGGAGGGGTGGGTTTGTCAGAGGCCAGGGAACAGCCAGGCTGTGGGGCTCTGAGTGTCCCAGGGAGGGGCTCCAGCGGAGGCGTGGGCAGGAAGATGGTGGCACCCATGTGCCCAGCGCCCTCTCCTGGGCGCAGTGAGGCGGGTGCAGTGCCAGCCCCTTGGCACCCCGTGCGGGCGGCCAGCATTCTGGGCAGGAGGGACAACTGCCGTGTGCGGGGCACTGCCCAGCCCAGGCCACAGAGGGGCAGGACCCCAAGCCAGGCCTCGGCTCTACTGGGGACGAGAGAGGAAGTCCAGGAGAGGTGGAGGGGAGCTCCTGGACACCCCAGGTCAGGGCAGCCCGAGGGGGCTCTGGTCCTGCTCCCCGTGTTGCACTTCCCGGGGGTCCCGCCCCAGGCTCCTCCTGGAGGGACAGCAGAGGCCCCCATCCTGGGTCACTGCCACGCGCAGCCCAGCACACCCAGCCTCCTCTCCGGCCGGCCTGGGGCTGGTTGTGCGGGAACG